TGATTGGTTAAAATATGGGTTGCTATGTGAATATTTTAAATGAATAAAAAGGTAAAATTATTCTTTTGGAATGACTGAAGGGCTTGGACTCTGCTGTAGTTTTATTCCCTTCTGGAACACTAGTTCCACTCTTTAGCTATGTGAGAATCAAGATCATCCTAGAATTGATCCCTGAGACTGCACATGGCTTGGTTCTCTTATGTAACTTTTACATAAAGCCGCTATTTCTAATTGAACTATCATAGATAACTTGAGAACTAAATTACAGGATAATATTAGCTGTTGCTCCTGAAGTCCAGCTCTCCCTGTAATAACTCTATCCTAATTCATAATTTCATTTTCCATGAAGGGGCAGAGCACCAAAACTTTTCTTCAGTGCAATCTTCTAGCTCTTAAGTGCCATTTAGGAAGCTACTGCAAAAAGGTTTCTCTAAATTCAGTTGCTACTTAAAACAGTTTATTTTTCATTCAGCTGTCAGAAAATTACTATATGAATCAGTATTTACATGAATTCTAATTCAATTTTTAAATCATCAAACATAGCTAGAGATAAAAGTTCATGTAGCTTTTAAGGATTGTGACTTTTTAATATAGTTTTATTTGTACATAGTTACAAAATGTATATGCCTTCTTGAATAAATATTTTGGATAGGTTTAGTTTATCAAAGGTTTATTGCAATCTCTAACAACATGAATTCAAAGCTTTTAAAAACAGTTTTTCTTCTATATTTTAAAACCCAAACATTAATCTCATTAATAACAAAAGTGTTCTGTATAAATTATGTCTTCTGTAGTACCTGATTTATTTGACTAACAATGTTATTTATATTTGGTTTTTTGATTTTGATACCTCTCCAGCCCTAGATATATTAAAAAGTAGGAAAGTATGTTATGCTAACAATCATCAAATGATTTATATGGAAATTTAACGATACCTGGAGATTTACCAGTTTTTCCCCTTCCTTAAGTTCATCAAAATAATTAAATTACTATAAAAACATATTAGTATTGAGTAATGCTAGTTAAACATTACTTATTTAAATTCATCAAAAGGGTTAAATATAAATTATTTAAATATTGTAGGATATATATATATATATATATATATATATATATATATATATATATATATATATATATATATATATATATATGTATATATATATCAATATCTCCTACATATATATATGTAGATCTTTAGTTATTCGGGTTTTCTCCCGCATAGAATTAGAAGTGTCTTGGCGACGTTTCGACGAAGTCATATTCGTCATCTTCAGGCTGGTGTCTTCAGCTTCGTGCTTCTGGGAGTAGTGTGTGTGATCGCAGCTTCTGGGAGTAGTGTGTGTGACTTCGTCGAAACGTCGCCAAGACACTTCTAATTCTACGGGGGAGAAAACCTGAATAACTAAAGACCTACATACAAACACCCGCGAAAACCTCAGAAAACAAACAAATATATATATATATATATATATATATATATATATATATATATATATATATATATGTGTGTGTGTGTGTGTGTGTGTGTGTGTGTGTGTGTGTGTGTGTGTGTGTGTGTGTGTGTGTTTTCGTAGATTTTCACAGGTACAGGTATGCAGGTCTTGGCATATTCAGGTCTTTTCCCGTGTAAGATTGAGAGTATCTTGGTGACGTTTCGACGAGGTCCCACTCATCATCTTCAGGCTGGGGTCTTCGGCTTCATGCTTGTGCGAGCAAAGTGTGATCGGAGATGCTGTCCCTCTATAAATATTGGGGTGTGTGTGTGGAGTGCTGTCTTAGTTGCTGTAGGTGGGTTGGTTGGCTGTGTAGGGGTTATTGTTTGCGGATTGTTCAGCTGTTTCATAACATCCTGAGTAGTTGAGGTGCTGGCTGTGTGCCCATTAGTTTTTTGTGTTATAACAACCTGGATAATGGGTTGTGTGATTACATCCTGAGATCTAGTGTAGTGATATCCTGAGTTTTGGGTTGCAACATCCTGGGTGGTTGGCTGTGTTGTAACGTCCTGAGCTTTAGCGTTGTAACCCCCTGAGTTCTGTGATGTGGTGTCCAGAGCAGAAGGCTGTGATGTAGCATACCAGGCTTTGGTTTGGCTCCGAGTTTGCTGTCTAGCTCTGTGTTCATGGCGTGTGTACATTTGCTTTGTGTGGGGGTCAGAGGGAGGTGCAGCAGCTGGTGATGTCATCATGGTTTGGCTTCTGGATGATGGTTGCATTTCATCTGAGGGATGGGTTTGGGCTTGAGTTTGGGTCTGGTAAGGTTGAATGGTGGTGGCGTGCTGTGTTGTTCTGGGTCCAGTGTCAGTTTTCGTGGCTAGGACTCGTTTGTTGATTAGGGCTAGTTTCCAGATGTCTGGTAGGCGGGAGGACTTCGAGTTTTTCGTAGGTCCTGGTGAGCAGGAAGGTTTCCTCCCGTAGAGGTAAGATATTTGTTTTCGTAGATTTTCACGGGTACAGGTACGCAGGTCTTGGTGTATTCGGGTCTTTTCCCGTGTAAGATTGAGAGTATCTTGGTGACGTTTTGACGAGGTCCCACTCATCATCTTCAGGCTGGGGTCTTCAGCTTTGTGCTTGTGCGAGCAAAGTGTGATCAGAGCTGCCGTCTCTCTATAAATATTGGTGGGGGTATGTGGGGATGCTGGCTTAGTTGCTGTAGGTGGATTGGTTGGCTGTGTGGGAGCTATTGTTTGCAGATTGTTCAGCTGTTTTGTAACATCCTGAGTAGTTGAGGTGGTGGCTGTGTGCCCAAACCCATTATTCTCTTGTTGTGTTCAGTTTTGGAGATTAGTTTGGTTCCTTCAAAATCAATTTCATGTCCTGTAGCTTTAAGATGCTGGAAGAGGGACCAAAAAATAGCCAACATTTTAAGAAACCCCAAAGATAGGATCCAGCTAGAAAACCAAGGAGTCTATGAAATACCATGCAAAATCTGCCCAGCCACATACATTGGACAAACTAATAGGAGAATAAATGCCCGCATTACAGAACACAAGAACGCAGTCAGAAAAGAAGAAAAAACTTCCTCCCTCTTCCAGCATCTTAAAGCTACAGGACATGAAATTGATTTTGAAGGAACCAAACTAATCTCCAAAACTGAACACCACAACAAGAGAATAATTATGGAAGCCATCGAAATAGAAAAACACCCCCACAACATGAATAAACATGACGATACCTCCCGCCTACCAGACATCTGGAAACTAGCCCTAATCAACAAACAAGTCCTAGCCACGAAATCTGACACCGGACCCAGAACAACACAGCACGCCACCACCATTCAACCTTACCAGACCCAAACTCAAGCCCAAACCCATCCCTCAGATGAAATGCAACCATCATCCAGAAGCCAAACCATGATGACATCACCAGCTGCTGCACCTCCCTCTGACCCCCACACAAAGCAAATGTACACACGCCATGAACACAGAGCTAGACAGCAAACTCGGAGCCAAACCAAAGCCTGGTATGCTACATCACAGCCTTCTGCTCAATAATCACAGAACTCAGGGGGTTACAATGCTAAAGCTCAGGATGTTACAACACAGCCAACCACCCAGGATGTTGCAACACAAAACTCAGGATATCACTACACTAGATCTCAGGATGTAATCACACAACCCATTATCCAAGTCGTTATAACACAAAAGACTAATGGGCACACAGCCACCACCTCAACTACTCAGGATGTTACGAAACAGCTGAACAATCTGCAAACAATAGCTCCCACACAGCCAACCAATCCACCTACAGCAACTAAGCCAGCACTCCCCACACCCCCACCAATATTTATAGAGAGACGGCAGCTCCGATCACACTTTGCTCGCACAAGCACAAAGCCGAAGACCCCAGCCTGAAGATGACGAGTGGGACCTCGTCAAAACGTCACCAAGATACTCTCAATCTTACACGGGAAAAGACCCGAATATGCCAAGACCTGCATATATATAAAAAATCTAAAATCTTAAAACATAAAATTATTTCTTCAGTAATATGAACTAATTTCTCATTAGAAGATGAAAGAAAAAGAGTCTAATTCCCTTTCTTTTTATGAGTTCACTGGCTAACACAGAATTCCCACCTGAAAATCTTAATTGTGAAGATAAGTTTCCTTGATCATAATTGCCTATAAATTTGATTACTAGTTGATTATTATTACTCCCTATATAAGAAGTTTTTTTCAATATTTGTCATCTCCTTTCAATACAAGGGTTCTTTTTAACCTCTAAAATCATTACATCTCTTTCAAATATTTTCACTGTACCCTAGATCATTTCATTAGATTTTATCTTAGTTAAATAACTCTGAAAATGTTTCTTTTTAATTTTATTTAAAATGAAAAAGAAGTACCAGAAGTGTCATAATAGCACTATTCCAATATTTGAGGAGCTGCCACAAGGAAGAGGGGGTCAATCTATACTCCAAAACACCTGAAGGCAGGACAAGAAGCAATGGATGGAAACCAATCAAGGAGAGAGCCAACCTAGAATTAAGCAGAAATTTCCTGACAGTTAAACTATTAATCAGTGTAACAAGTTGCCTCCAGAAATTGTGGGTGCTCCAACACTGGAAATTTTTAAGAAGAGATTGGACAATGATTTGACTGAAATGGTATAGGGTTTCTCACTTAAGCAGGGCATTGGACTAGAAGACTTCCAAGCCCCTTCCAGGTCTCTTATTCTATATTATCCAACAGTAAAAATGGATACCTTTGTCTTGAAAAAATTATAGTGTTGCTGAGTCTCACTGAAATAATTTCAGCACTTGGATGTGGTTTGAGCATAATTTATCTGTCATTTTAGAAGAAACATGGTTATCTATATATTTGGTAGAACAAAAATAATAATTCAATTTTGAGTAATTTTCATGATGAGATAGATGAAAAAATCCAGATCATTACAGTAGCTTTCTTTATTTGTACAGTAGTGGTCAACCATAATTTTCAACATTCCCCCCAAATACCTGATTGAAGACTAATATTTTCTTCTTTCATTTATTGGCCAGATACTACCTGCTTCCATGTGTACTGAGAATTGCCTCCCTGGTTATTTCAAGAAAAAACAAGAAGCAAAACCATTTTGCTGCTATGATTGTCTTCGATGTCCCAAAGAGAAAATGTCAAATCTGGAAGGTAAGAGACATTATTAATTGGTGGTACCACAGGACAAAGCAAGAAAATCCACGAAGATGTAAGTTCAGGAGCTGAATTATATTATATACAGTACAGGTCATTTTTGACTAGTGGTCAGTCATTAAATGAAGCAGATGCTAAGTGAAATCAAAACAGTGTTTTATGAAGCTATTTCATCTTTCCTTTTCTCTGCAGATCTTTAAAGGTCTTAAATGTGAAGACTGATCACAAAGTTACTTTTTTATTATTGTCATAACTTCAAACAATTGTTAAACAAGGCAGTGACTAAACAAAGACTACCTTTAGTGCTTTTCCTGCATTCCCCCACTCTTTGGGATACTTATCCTAGAGCTTGGATAATTAGCAAGAAGAAATTTGATGTTTGTATTTATATTCATTAGAGATAAGTGATTGAAAGAGAATTGCAGGCACACAATTGATAATACACTTTGAGAAGAAGACACTAGTGCTGGCTGTTTGACTAGTGCACTGATGACTGTGAGCAATGAGTCACAAAGAAAGCAATAGCCTTTAATATCAAATTGGTTAGATTCCTGTCAGTGTCTGGCAGCAAACTATGCAAGAATGAAGGTTCCAGTAAACAAATTCAGGCAATCACTCTACTTTCCAATGGGGGAAAGGAAAAAATGGATCAAGTACAGAGTAATATTTACCAAATAATATAATGGCATGTAAACACATGACTGAGAAGAAAGTGACATAAAGGTTGTAAATATGGGCCTTTGTCAAAAAGTTACTTTTTTATCATCATCATAACTATGAATCATTGCTGTTTGAAGCAGTTGCTAAATGAAGATTATCTGTAAAGCATTCCATTTCTCTTAGTTTGGGATTATACTCAGTGGTGGGATTCAAATATATGAACAACCAGTTCTCTGTGTGGATGCTGCTTCTGGAAGTCCATTCTGGGCCTGGGCAACAAAAAATTAGCTACCGGTTCTGCCAAAGTGGTGCGAACTGGCTGAATCCCACCACTGATTATACTCTACAATTGGTTTTAACAATGTATCATCCTAACTTGCACAAAATCTGTTCCATTTGATTTAGAAAGCATCAATATTTTTGCTTGTACGGAGAATAGGAAACATATTTCCTCCTTTTCCTTCAGAAATATAAAAAATGAAGAATATTAAACCTAAATCATTTCATACAAAGAGAATAGTATAACATTTATTTTTATTGATATTATTTTGAATAATGCTTTTTATAAAACCTTACTGAAGATCGATGTAGAAATAAAGCCAGAGAAATACATAGAGACAGCCCAAGTAATGTAATGAATTAATGAGTAAGTAATATTCCTTCCCTTAGCAGAAAAATCTCATGATTTCCTGTGTTCTCTTAGATACCAAATATAAGAGTAGAAAGTCATATCTAGGAAATCAGAACGAGTATTGCTTCCAAAAAACCCAAAAAAACCTCCCATGTAAATGATACTAAATATAGTATAGGTATACAACATATATAAATTTATATATTTAAATTCTAGACATGGATGACTGTTTGAAATGCCCAGAAGATCAATATCCAAATAAGAGCCAAACTTCATGTATTCCTAAGAAAATAACTTTCTTGTCCTATGAAGAACCAATAGGAATAATCTTGGTTGTTTTGGTACTTTTCTTTTCTCTCTGCACAATTGTGGTGCTCACAACATTTTTGAAGTATCACCATACTCCCATCGTCAAGGCCAATAACCAAAATCTCACTTACCTTCTACTCATCTCCCTCCTCCTCTGTTTCCTTTGTTCACTGCAGTTCCTTGTTGCACCAGATTATATAATATGTCTTCTACGACAAATTAGCTTTGGCATCATCTTTTCAGTGGCTGTGTCTTCTGTTCTGGCAAAAACCATTACTGTAGTTCTGGCTTTCATGGCCACCAAGCCTGGATCAAGGATGCGGAACTGGGTGGGAAGAGGACTGGCCACCTCCATTGTTCTTTGTGGTTCCTTGATTCAAGTAGGCATTTGTATGGTGTGGCTGTTCACATTTCCCCCTTTTCCTGACACGGACACCCATTCAGAAGTAGAGGAAATAATACTACAGTGCAGTGAAGGCTCATCTACTATGTTCTACTGTGTCCTGAGTTACATGGGCTTTCTGGCAGTTGCCAGTTTCACAGTAGCGTTTTTCTCCAGGAATCTCCCGAGCAGTTTCAACGAGGCCAAATGTCTCACATTCAGCATGCTGATTTTCTGCAGTGTATGGCTCTCCTTTGTTCCATCCTACCTGAGCACTAAAGGCAAATATATGGTGGCTGTGGAGGTCTTCTCCATTTTGGCCTCTAGTGCTGGATTGCTGGCCTGCATTTATTTCCCCAAATGCTATATAATCATTATTAGGCCAGAGCTAAATAACAGGGAACAGTTAATAAAGAGAAAATATTAATAATACAAACTAAGCATCCTATTTCCATATTTTGCTCTTTTAGTATCCAATGGGAACCTGGGTGTTAGCAAACATTTGTGTGAATATGGTGTGTACAGCACACATAGTGCTTTGTCATTGTATAGACAATTGTGGCCACTTGTTAAGTTTGAATTCCAATTGGGATAAAGCTAAGAATAATCAACACAAAATCTGGTGGTGGTTCACTTTACAAGCAATCCGGAATGGGACAATTCATCATGGCCACCTGACCCAGCTCATTCCATCCTGACTTTCCCAGATCAGCTGACCCACCATGGGCTTGTCCTCCACCAGTGATATATCTCCACCAGTACTACTTCATTGCTTCTCTGAGGATGCTTAGCTGTGACCGATGCATCCTGACTAGTCTTTACAGCTGATTCCCCCCATGGGACAACTAAACATGCCTTTGGTGCTTCTGGCTTCTGGTGCATTTTTGAGCATACCTGATGGCAAGAACACAGGAGGTGTCAGCAGCAGCAGTGCTGGAAAGCTGTGGCAGTATGGGGGAATATCATGATATCATGTTTGCCAGCAGCATTTGGATGGCAAGGGGATGACAGGCATGGCTTGGCCAGAAGCATTTGGATGGCAAGGGACAGGAAGCATGGTTTGGCAGCACTGTTTGGATGGCAAGAGTGTAAAGCACGACTTCACCAGCATCATTTTTATGGCAAGGGGGAGAGGTGAAGAGAGTGACTGAAAAGTACTATTCTTATTACCAGGAACTGTAATGTACTTTTCCAGTGAGAGAGACATATCAATATGGCCACCTTTTGTGACCAACCCCAAAGTTCATCCCAGCCAAACCAATGAACTGAAATGTCATTAAACATTAACTATTTTTGAAAAAATAAGATTACTAGTAGTTAAGGCACTAGGCTAGAGAACAGCATCCTGTGAATTCAAGTCCTGCCTTAGCCATGAAAGCTGGCTTGGTGACTTTGGGCCAGTCATTGTCTCTCAGCCTAACCCACCTCACAGGGCTTTTGTTGTGGGGAAAAGTTTGGAAAATGTTAAGAGTGATGTTTTGGTTGCTCAATTTCGGGATATGGAATTTGCGATTCGGATCCGTGGATTGGCTGAGGATCCAAAAGAGAATTTAAGAGAATTAATTCCGGAGGCATTTATGGACGCCCTGGCTTGTGGGCGAGAAATTCATGATGAAATAGAACGTGTTTTCAGGGTAAATTCTTGGGTTGCACGCCAGAAGAATTTGCCAAGAGACGTGGTGGTCTATTTTACAAGAAAAGCGAGAAGAAATGAAATAATGCAGCTCTTTTATCAACAAAGATTCAAGATTTTAAATCAAGATATTATTCTTTTAAAGGAAA